GTTTAGGATTTGGTTTTTAGGATCTTGAGTTTAGTATTGAAGGTTTAAAGTAAATTTAAGTTTTTGGTATTTTTGGAAAATCAAAACTCTTAGTAATATTTAAAAAAAAAAAATTTTGATTTCATTTTTGAAAACAAAATTTCAAATTTGGTATTTTAAAAAATTGTCCATTCCAAATTAATAAACTGTTCATATGACAAGAAGAGGTTGGCGAAAGATTATAATAAAGATTCATTTTCTTATATCACTCGAAAAGATTATTTATTTCTTTATTATAAAGTGTTTTTTATAAGCAGGGAGTGATCCGAGTTTTTACCGTCCAACTAATCCCTATAATGAGTGTATACGTCGAGTAGCCTACTCATCGAGATTTTTAATAGTTCTCGAGCGTGCCACTATTTCGACTAACTAAATGAAGGTGCAAGTGTTTCTAGGAGTAATCGAATTCAGGTTAAAAGGGTTTACTTCATTTTCCTAAGTCCTAGACTACTAGGAGACCACCATTTGGTTTATTATAAAAATGTTTTCATAAGAAATTTTTGTTTTTCCTAATTAAAACACCGATCATAAACCTCTAGTCAACCTTTCTAAAGACATCATAAATTTTAAAATGACCAATATACAGTATGTCGCTTCATCTAAATCAGTCGGTGCCAATTAAAATCAAATCCCAAATGTGTATAAAGACCAGAACGAAATGCACAGCTAAGAGATATGGACCACATTAATTACATGACGAGACTCGGTTCTTCTCCATATAGGTGAGGTGATTCCGTGTGTAGTTTGTGTGTGAACTAGATAGAATTCGACAGTCATGTCTTTGTCTCTTCAACTAAATAGCATTAAACACACAAGAAGACAAAAAACAACTTTTTCGCAAAAATTTGGTTTTGGCTGTGTGTAATCCGTGGAACTCTGAGAGTAGTCATAGAGATTTTGGTCAAAATAGAGAAAAAATATGGAAAGGGCCCGGTTTAGACGATGCTCACGTCACGCATGACGCTGTACACAGATAAAGGCAAAGAAAGTCTTTGTTCTTTTTCTTACCCCCACGTGGTTAAGTGTAGCACGACGTTTCACGTTTTTTCATCTCAAGTTTGAACCGACTTTTTCCTGCGTTTTTTCACTACTTTTCTCTTTTAGATAGTAGTAATGTTTTTGTTTAAATGCACAATCCATTGAAAAATGTTTTACAGATTATTCACCTAACCATCCTTATTTTCTATATAGATAAATTATATGGTTGATTAGGTAAGTCCTATCATCATTTTGACATTTATTTGTAAAAAATGACACAGTGATAAAGTAAATGAGTATTTTTATACTATATTTATGTAAAATAACATAATATTGGTTTAAAGCATGTTAAAAAAAAAAGATAATATTTACAAAAATAATACGAACAATTAAGGGATAATTGCAAAAATACTACTTAGGAGTGTCTATTTGCAAAAATACCATTAATTATAGATTTTTAAAATTTAAATCTTAAAATTATAAATCTTAAAAAATATTTTGACCACTAAAATCTCTTAAACTCTCAAAACTAGATTATAATACAACATAGTTAACCCAAACATAAAGATCTAATGATTTTTTTTTTGAAAAAAATAGCATTTTTATAAAATTTTTGAGAATATATTTTTTTTTTGAAAAATGATATTTTTAAAAATTTCTCAAAAATTAATGTTTGTTTGTTTGTCAACCACTAAAATGGGTCATACTTTGACCTGTTGACTTTTTACCTTTAGAATTTTTTTTTACATAAAAGCTGTTATTTTAATTTAATTCCACTGGTCAACCTAAGATTATAAGCTTATTTAATTGAATTCCACTGGTCAACCTCATATTATAAGATTATTTATATTCACCTCTCTGACTTTCTCCTAACTTCAACGTATAAATACTCACCGTATCCTCAGATTCAAACTCAAACCAAACAAAAAACACACAAGAAAACAGAGGAAACAACAGAAAAATGGATTTCAGAGATTCCGGTGAAAGTCAATCAAAGTACAAAGGAATCCGTCGCCGGAAATGGGGAAAATGGGTATCGGAGATTCGAGTTCCGGGAACTCGTGACCGTCTCTGGTTAGGCTCATTCTCAACCGCAGAAGGCGCAGCCGTAGCACACGACGTCGCTTTCTACTGTTTACACCAACCAAATTCACTCGAATCTCTCAATTTTCCTCACTTGCTTCCTCCTTCGATCGTCTCCATAACTTCACCGAGATCTATCCAGCAAGCTGCTTCCAATGCCGGAATGGCCATCGACGCCGGAATAGTCCACCGTAACGACGATTTTATTATGTCCGGGAACTCTGTGTACGGCCATGGTCATACGACGACGTTTTGTGAGAATGGATCAGGTCAAGTATTGGAGCCGTTGAATATTTCAGTGTATGATTATCTGGACGGTCACGATCACGTTTGATCTTTGTTTTTGATTTTAAAGATTAAGTTACCAAAAATGCAGTGTTGTGATTGTGAATATATATTATATATGTTTCGAATTTGGTCGGGCCAATTAAAGAAAGTTTGGTACTTGGACCGACCGGGAGATATTAGCCTATGGTGCTACTGCCTTTTTTTGTGTCAATTTTTGGTGTTTATGAAAACCACGTAACGCATTTTGTTGAAAAAAAATACTGTAAGAAACTTTGGTCAGTTTTACGAATGTTCTATTTAAAAGAAACACAGGGTAAATCCATAGAGTATATTGGAGTAAACCGATGTAAACCAGTGTACTTTTATTCCCAGTTATTACCATGCTAACCGGATTGATTTGTGTATATAGTTGTGTAACCGAGTATTGTTGTAACTAACTCAGAATTAATAATAACAAAATTTCCCTCTCATCGCTCTACACTTTCTCTCTCTTATTCTTCAATATTCATCGTTGTTCATCACAAATTTGGGTTCTAATATGGTATTAGAGCCACGAATCCTCTCGATTTGGCTTTGAATTCGTGTTTTTCATCTTCAATTGATTCGATTTCATGGATTAATCGCCTCGATTGATTCATTTATTTTTTCCCTTTTTTCTCATGCGATCTTGAGAAATCTCTTTTCTTTGCAATTTATGGTATTTTCATCGATTGATTCGTTTGATTCGGCTACTTCGAGTTGATTCATCAATGGTGACTTCAGATTCAGCTCACGATTCGACAAACCAAGCAAACTCTGCTTCACATCTCAATCCGACTTCAGCTTCCGATGTACGC